ATTTCATTTGGTAGTTACATGGAAACAGGATGTTTCAAAGGCCCCATATAGAAGTTGAACACTTTTTTTTTTAGGACCTGACTATACTCCAAGTGAAACCATTTTGAACAGAAAGCTGTAATTGCTAAATCATATTTAATAATGGTATTTTAAAGACTATGTTTTCTGAACCTGCCCTCCTTATGTAATTCTTTTAACTTTTATATAAAAGTTTAAACTTTAGTAACTGCAGAAACCATTCATAATGATCCTGATTTTTCTCATGTTCTTTGTGAAAACATAATTTGATGCAACGAGTTTAGCGTGATATTTGGTAGTATCAAACTAAAAATAATGTCTTATTACCTATCCAGCAATCCTACTTCTAGAAACCTATTTCATATAAATATTAGCACGAGTGTGTGAAGTTTTATGTAATGGTATCTTCATCACAGTGGTTTGTAACAGAAAAAATAAATAAAAACAAGCCATCTGTCTATCAACATTATATCACTTTAAAAATAAAACAAAACAAAGAATCGAAAAAAAGTTAAAGGTGAAGAGAAGGAGAGAGGAAAAGGAAAAGGAGAGGGAAAGAGAGTTTTGTAAAAACACTGATGATAAAACAAAACAAATTCTGGAAGGAAACTGACCAAACCATGAATCATCTCTGGGCAGCAGGAATTGGAGGGAGGTGGGAAAGGACTTTCACTTTTTATTTTGTAATCACTCTAATATCGCTTATGTTTGTTAGAATGCATGTATGTTGCTTTTATAATAGAGAAAAAGGGAGTTACGAACATAGCACATGCAATTGAGTAAAATTTGAATTTTAAAATACTGACATTAAATACTGACTTCTATGTTAAAATATGAGTGAGAAATAAGATAAGGATTTTCTCATAAAAATAATACATTCCACTCACCTGATATAAGGCAAAACAGGGTCGACATGATGGAGTGTTATCGCAGTAATGTATGAAAAGATGAAAGCAGCGGCGGTCCAAATTACAAGGGCTGAAGGGAGGAAACTGAGGCCTTGCTGAAACCACCACATCTCAAACAGGTCTTCTGAAGCAGAAAAATCTAGAAAAGATAATTCACAAGGGTTTCCTCTATTCCACTTTAACCATCCACTTCCACAATCTTGGCAGTTAACCAGCTGAACTGTTCCACTTCTGATATCATCCCCTACACCATCCCCTAACCCTGCTCTCCTCCCCTTTCTCAGTAAACAAAATCAAGATTCACCCACTTGCCATAGTCTGAACCTTCTCTCTCCCTCTCTTCCCACACACAGCCAAGCACCAAATACTGTTTGTTCTACCTTCTGAATTTCTTTTCTATCTATCCCTTCTATCATCACTGCCACTAACCTATCTAAACTACTATCATCTCTTGGCCAGATTTAATAATCTCCTAAATGGTCCTTGGTCCTTCTGCAGTCTTGACCACAACCAGTCTAGACTCCAGTCTAAAACCAGAGTGATGCTTCTAAAACACCAACCTGACCACATTACTCTCCTATGAAGAATCCTTCCATGGCTTACCTGGGCCCATACAAATAATTTTTCCTCCTTAATATGGTCTACAAAATCCTGGCATCATCTGGTCTCTACTTATCTTTCTATATTCATCTTTGGCCACTCCTTGTTTGCTCCCAATTCCTTGCTCTAGCCATTTTATCATTATAAATGCAAACACTTAGTGTTTACAATGTGTCAACAATTAAGCATCTTAAACACTTCATTTATAATTACAAGCATACAATTTGAAAGAATCATAAAGAGGTTAAGAGAATTGCCCAAGGTCACAGGGCTAGAAAAAGGTAGAGAAAGGATTCAAATCCCGGCTGTCTAACCCCAAATCACTACGCTATACTGCCAGAACAAATTTCTTTCAGATCTTCAAATGGGTCACTCTCTCTTGCACATCTTAATATGTCCATACATTGTCATTTCTGTCTGGATGATACAGCACAATGCTATCACTCCTTCTCCACCAGTTAACTCGTATACATCTTTTAGGTCCCAATTCTTCTAGCTTCAGCTGAGTGTCCCTTTGTTTCCACTAACTCCATTTACTTGCCCAACTGAGACATCCCACTTAACTATTACTTGCTTGTTTGGTTTTCTCTTCCTCACTAAATTTTAAGTTCTGTGAGAGCAGGAACCAATTGTTTTGTTCACGATTATATTTCCAGCTCCTGCAGAAGGAAAAAAAAGGGTCTAAATATATATCAATACACATATATACAGATACATACACACATATACCCCACACACATCACCACTTTCTCCCTTAAATCCCAGACTGAAGATGTTGTTAAGTAATAAGGAGTCAATAATGTGAATTAGAAAACATCAATATATTTTTTACTTTTTATAATCTATTTTTGTTGTTGAGAATATACACCGCAGAACACACATACACTAATTCAACAATTTCTACATGTACATTTCAGTGACACTGAATTACATTCTTTGAGTCATGCAACCATTTTCACCCTCCTTTTTCAAGCTTTTCTTCCCTATTAACATTAACTCACTGCCCCCTAAGTTGTCTTTGTCAATCTGATCCATACAGATACATATTAGTAAAAGAGCAAAATGTTGAAGGTAGACATTTTTTACTAGTTAACTGTTTGGTTTTAAGAAGACTTCAGGGGACACTTTTGTTTTAAGGTTTAAAGATTATCTCAGGGCAATAGTTTCAGGGGTTCTTCCAGCCTCCATGGCTCCAGAAAATCTGGATTCCATGAGTATATGAATTCTGTACTGCATTTCCCCCCTTTTAATCAGGATTCTCCTATAAAATTAACATTATCTTTATGCATTTAATTTTAAAATATAAATTTGCTTTCAAATTACAACAAACTATGTCTACGCATACAAGAATAATTTCATGTTTAGAAATACATCTTATGTTTGATGAATTAAAATTAAATATTTCCAATGAAGTTTGTAAAAAATTACTGCTCTTACTGCCACAATCCTCCACTGTGCTCAGCTTCCTCATCACAGACTGACCTTCCAAATAACGAAATCTCAATCACTTTTGACTTGTACTTGTCATCTACCCCAATCATTTGACTTGTTACTAAATCTGTACGTGCACATCTTGCTAAATAAATTCCTTTTCCTTTATTCTTAAAGTTACCATTTTAGACGAGTTGAGTAATTTCCTGCCTGAATTATCATAATCTCCTCTTTTCATATGTAGTTTTTTCTTCCTTGTTAGTCCTTAACATTCCATCAACTTTTTCCTCCTTTATTTATTTAGTTACCACAATTCCTTGCCAAGATTCCATAGTGTTTTCCTTAGCATAGATTTCTGGGACAATAATTCTTACTTTCCATATTTTTTAATCGCTTCTAAAATCTTGTTTTTAATTGTTCATGCTTTATCTCTGTTAAAACATTATTTTAATTTGTTTCTGATAATTCCAATCTAAAGTTCTCAGAAGTCTAGTTCCATTATTTCTTGGTTCTGCCAACCCTTGCACATGTGTTATGGTTTCTGACTGAGTTTGTATTTAGATGGTCTTAATCTGAATGTATTCTAAAAAGTTCAGATTAAGGGTGAGTCATTCCAGAGAGAGTCTGTGTTTTTTTTTTTTCAGGTACCCTAGCATATTACCAACCTGAGCCATCTTTGATTTCTTGGATTCCAGTTTAGACGATGTAGGTGTGGAAATTTTAACCCTGAATCTGAGTGATGGCACACCCTTGAGTTTCAAGTTCTCAGGTAATGTCTTTATACCCCCACCTGGAACTGAGGCAAAAAACGTACAAATTTCTTTGCCATCTCCCTTTGCCAGGAGGGAGGTATTTTTCTAACCTACCTTTCACTGTGTGTAGACTTTTGAGGGTCCTGGCTGAATTTGAAGAAGGTGGTTCTCCTAGGCCATGAGTTGTATAATTTTAAGCAGAAATATTTGTATTTTATGAAAATGCCACCTCTGAAACACAGGTACTTTAACACAGATGACCATGTGAATCGCGCAGCCTGGAGCTGTGCACCTGGGAGGTTCAGCGGCCTGAAGTCTATCTATCTCAGGTGCTTTATTTCTATCAGCCAAATGCCCCAAAAGGAGCCTCGATGCCAGCTTACCACTCTGGTTTAGCTTTCATTCTGACTTTTGAGTCCTAGGAATTTCCCTTTCTTTCTCACATGATAAGCTACGCATTTAAAAGGCTAATATACCTTATTCAGCATTTAAGTGACAATATACTTTTTTCAGCATTTAAGTGTTTTGGTAAAACAGATTTTCAAAACATTTTGTCCACCCATTTGCTAGAAATATGGTCCCCCACCCTCCGCTTTGTTTTTGCAGGTCCAAATTCTTCCTAGTCATCAAACCAAAATAGAGACCCTCTAGGACAGAGGAGAACTGCCCAATAGGGTTTCTAAGGAGCAGCTGGTGGATTCGAACTGCCAACCTTTTTAGTTAGCAGCCATAGCTCTTAACCACTGCACCACCGAGGTTACCCTACTCATCAACACTGAGCTCAAATGTCATCTTCTGCACACAACCTTTCCTGATCCCTTTGTATCTGTAAATAAGCATCCCATTCTCTGAGAATATTTGATTTGCACATCTCTTATAGCTCATTATCCCCTACTGCATAAAAATTTAGGAGAGTGCCTTAAGTAGATAAGATCCTTGATGAGGGACTCCATTTCTCCACACAAGTCTAGCAGAGAGTCTTGCTCATAGTAATCACTCAATAAATCTTTCCTGAAAGAACAGTCAAAAACAAATCCTCTTAATTTCCAAAACAGTTCATGCTTGTTCTATATCAGTAATCGGCATTACCATTTTTCCAGCTTATCTAGAGTAACCTTAGGTTCTCTATTCCAAAGTCTTCACATGATGTCACTAAGGGATAGTAATTCTACCTCTGTAAGTCATTTGCAACCATCTCTTCCAGTTCCCACTGTAATCACTCAATTCAGATTTTCAGTTCTTTCGGCCTAACTGCTTTTTCTTCCCCTGTATCCATCCTATATGCATTGCCAAATTAACATTTCTAAAGCATTTCTCTGCTCAAAAACTTTTGTATAAAGTTGTGTGACCTTGGGCAGGTTTCAGAACTTCTATGAGCCAGTTTCTCCTTTGAAAAATGGAAATAATATTATCAGTACAGGCTGCACTGTCCAGTACAGTAGCCACAAGCCACATGTGGCTATTTAAATTTATTACAATTAAATAAAATTTAAAAATTCAGTTCCTCAGTTGCAGTAGTCACATTTCAAGTGCTCAGCAACCAAATGCGCCTAATGTTACTATACAGGATAGTGAAGACATAGAACATTTCCATCATGTGGAAAAGTTCTATTGGACTGAGCTGGACAGTATTATAGGGATTTCACTTACACAGCACAAGTAAAAAATTAAACACATTGTTGATGCATAAGAAATGATAGTTTTTATTAATATCATCTGTTAAATGGTCTAAAATAAACCCTTCAAAATAGGTTTATTCAAGTACTAAATGAGATGATATATGTAAGGTACTCACTCTCATACTAAAAAAAAAAAAAACCCATTGCCATCGAGTTGATTTCGACTCATAGCGACCCCACAGGACAGAGTAGAACTGTCTCATACAGTTTCCAAGGAGCGTCTGGTGGATTTGAACTGCCGACCTTTTGGTTAGCAGCAATAGCTCTCAACCACTATGCCACCAGGGTGTCCAAGGTACTATCATAGGTTGTCAATAAATGTTTGTTCCCCCTTTACCATGTGAAAGATGAATTAATTACCTGTTCTATGAGTTTATAAAACATCAGTCTTCAGATCTGCCCAAACCTGCACCTTCTGTAAGCCCTGAAAGCCACATATAAAGAAAATAAGAGGTTGCTGTTTCAATCCACATTATTTTGAACATACGTACAATTTCAAGTCCATGCACCAATATTGCTCATGGGCAGAACACTATGCTATAGGATTGTCCATAGGTTATTTTCTTTAAAGAGCTGATATTTGCTTTTTTTTTTAAATAATGATACTGTACTATGTGGAACTGAATAATATTTTAATTCTAGGATATCAAATTCCTTATCCTTTCTCACATTAGACACCTTTCACTGGTCTCAAAAAGGATAAAAGAAAAACACTGGGTTTCCTTCTACAGAAGAGGCAAAAATGAGGGGGAAATGGTAGCTTATTAGTTTAAGCAAAATAAAATGTTAAACAGCTAGTCTGTGTGATCTAATGGAAAGAACACAAGCTGAGATCACATTTATCTAAATGCAAATCCTAGCTTTACCACTTCCCACTTGTATGATTTCAAGCAAGTTACTTAAGTTCTCTGAGTTACAGTACTCTAATCTGTAAAACAGGCATCTCAAAGGTTATTCTTTAGAATGAAAACAGGATAAGTATATAATAAATGACAGCTTATCAATTTGGTACAGTCATAACTAGTCACAGTATGAGGAATGACAATACCTAATTCTTTCTATGTATGAATCATCTTGGATTTGTATCTCCTTTGGCTTTGAAGATTCTAGTTGATTACACTGATAACTTAGAGGAAAAAAACAAAAAAAAAACCCACTGCCATCAAGTCGATCCTGACTTATAGTGACCCTACAAGACAGAGTAGAACTGCCCAACAGAGTTTTTAAGGAGCAGCTGGTGGATTCTAACTGCTGACCTTTTGTTTAACAGCTGAGCTCTTAACCACTGCACCACCAGGGCTGCTTTAGAGAAGAAGCAGGGCTTAAAATGCTTTACCAGATTGCTAAAGAGAGCTGTGAAATTTAAGTGCATGAACTAGCAAAAGAAGATTACTATTGCCCATGTATTTTCACCTTGGAAAGCTGGAAGTCTAAATGGGTAACTGCTAAACAAGTAAAATAGAATTTTAATGGTTAATAATTCAAGAAACCTTCCAAAATGTTTGAAAATATGCAGGAATAACCTGCACACAGGAGCAAGACTGTTTAACAAAATGTTCTTGCACCTCTCACTTATTATCTATGCTTTCTTTGAAGTTTTATGAATCAGAACTGCACTTACAATTTTAAATTTCACAAATGTTTAAATCCCACTGGTAATAAGATGAATTCCTTTTGCTGTCTCCTTTCAGTGGTCACTGCTGAGAAATAATAAGAAAATGGATTCTGGATATTCCAAGTGAACAAGAGGGGAAGCCCCAAGCTTCTTTTAGAGGTACACAGAACTATCAGGTCCAAAGCAAAGCAAATGGTGATTTTTCTAAAATGTAACTTAGCCGCTTGACAAATGTTAAGGTTAAATCCTAACGAATCTAGAAGGTTAAGCAACTTTTCTTTTACAAACTGGATCAAATGCTACACGGAAAGAAATGGGGAGAATCCTAATCACAGAGCTGCATTTGGGTACTAAGTTACAAATTAAAATTTGGGAGAATTGGAAAAATTATTTCTGGGGTGTGTTTCCTGTGTTTTACAATTGTTTCCTAATACAAAGCACGTTTGCGAGTAAGTACAAGGCTTGCAGCAATTCATCTTTCTGTACTGGACCCGCCCAAGGCGACAGAACTGCGCGTAGCGGGCTGAGCTCCGTGTAAACACAAGGTCACCAAAGATCACAATTTCAGACACCCCTCCCCTCAAGAAATCTGTGTCTAAGAGCGACTATAGGAACGTGTATTCAGCTCCAGTTTTTGTGAGACTGGGGCAAAGGTTCTGGGGAACGAGATAAAGGTTAGTTGCGGCTTTAAAAAAACAAATATAGAGGACTTATTTAGACCTCTGCCTTTTTCCGGAGGCGGGAAGCACCCGGGCAAAGCTCTCGGCTCCACTTTGCTTGGGGCGAAGATAAAATGAGGGAGGCGGAGCATGGCTGGGCTTGGGACTTACAGGTGAGCGGGGGTAAGGCGAGGCTTAGGAAGGGGTGCACAAGACTTGAGCCCAGCCTGCACTGCCCCCTCCCCTCGCGACCGCCGGCTCCCGGCCGTGGCTTTGGCCACCACCTGGCCCCTCTCTGGCGCCTCGCGGTGCCGCCTCTGGAGGTAGAGTAAGCCCGCACACGACTCGCGCGACTGCCACGGAAGCGGAGGGCTCCGGGATGCGCCGACTTCCCCGACCCACCAAAGTCCATCCTCTGACGCCCTCCCTCACTCCTTTCGGCCTACCTTGCCTGGATGACCCAGCCAGTGCCGGCAGCGGACCCCGGAGCCGGCCAGCAGGATGGAGAAGGGGCGGAGCCCTGGAGCGCGCTCCCGAGCAGCCGTGCCAGCTCCGGGGCGCGCTCACGGCCCCGAGGAGCGCGCTCGCGCCACAGCTAGTTCCGATCCTGTCTCCCTTTACGGCAACCGCGAAAGTGTCGTGAGCGTGCTGCCGCCTATCACAGTCACCTAGTCGGCTGGAGCTGGAGCTTGTTATTTCTAGTGGTGTGCTTTCTGGGGTCGGGGTAAGGATGCGGGACTCCGTTTTGGGAAAACTGCGAGTGTGTGAAGGATGTTGTGGGGGGCACAACTCCCAGGAAGGGTGAAGAGAGAGCTTGATGCTCTGGGGTGGGCACTGGTAGGTAGCTGTGTACTCGCGCGAAACGAACACCATCGTTCTTCCCCGCGCAGGGTGGCCTCGCGCGCGGAGTTGTGGGGAGGGCGAGGGACGGCTGCCCCTCTGGTCTCCTGTGGAGAGATGGATGTGGCGAAGCGTTTGCGCGGGAGCCCGGAAACTGTTGTATGGGAGCGGGGGGAGTCGGGGTGGAGACAGTCTTGGCGGGCCGGACGGGCGGGCGAGCGGAGGGCTGGGGGCGCAGCCCTCGCGAAACCGACCTTGCCTGTCAGGTCCACACCCTCCTGCCCCTGTGCTGCCAAGTCCACAAACCGTGTTGCAAAGGAAAGCAACCATCTTCTGCCGGGGTTGCTTTCCCTTTGGAGTGCGGTGCTGGTATTTCGTGCCTGGGCCACGCTTCTTGGTCAGCAACTTTTCTAGAAATTTTCGCTTATACTGACAAGCTCTGAGGTTGCTAGCTAGGGTTTATTTCAGCAGTATTCTTGGAAGGAGAAAGGATAGAAGAGTTGCTACTGTTTGCTGGTGTTCCCGGAAACACTGGATGAATGGAATTTTTCCATTCAGCAAACGTGTTTAACTTGTTTTCTGCAATTCGGTGCTTGGCGTTTTTGTGTCATTTTACCATTTTGCATCATTAGATTGAATGTGCTGTATAATACTACTTGAAGTCTCTTAGTTTTTTAGTAAATCTATATTACTATAGTAGGTAAGTTCATAGTTGTCTTTCAGCAAACATTAGTGTCTTGTATATGAACGAAGAATATAGATTCAGTTCCTACTCTCAAACTAGTAGGAATGTATTCAATAAGTGTGTAATAAATTGATTAACTTACAACACAAGTTAGACTGTGGTAACTCTAAGGGCACTTAGAGCATTACTAATTTAGAACCATTGGCTGTTACATAAAATTTTCGGAGATTGAAGTTCTAAAAGCATTTTGCTGCATGTTTCTTTTGTGCTGAGAAAAAAATTGTCAAAGTGGCTTGTTATAGCCCGTCTTTACAACCTTTCCACTTAAGAAATAAATTAGATAAATCTGTCTCTAGTATTATCCTGTACGTTCTTTGGACAGAGGCTTCTTTATTTGTTGTCCAGTTAATAGATTATTACTGAGTATTTACAACTATGGTTTCATAAACTCATTCTCCTTCCTGCCTCACCCCTAATCTCTTTAAAAATTTACATTGTATTATTAAACATTTGAAATATTACTCTAAACTTTTTTTGTTGTTTTTTATACCATCAGTTACATTTTATTGTACAGCCAATTTATTTGTTCTCTGGGCAGCAGCTGATCTGTCCTTTCAAGCTGGATAAAGGTGCTGGGGATGTGCTTTTTAAGGATCATGCTGTGCTTTCTTTTTTAAAGGCACAGGAAAATAATCTATGAAGTGCCACACTTTTTCCTCCCCTTCGAGACAGTTGTTTTCTTTTTTTTAAGGAATGCAAGATTTCACTTCAGCAATACAGTAAATCTAAATTGTATTTCACTGTTTTTTGCTTCCAAGTGTGCTGAAAAGGCTTTTTGTTTTTGTAAACTTGTTCTGTGTATCACTGGTTAAATAATGCTGAACTTAATTCTGTAATCCTGTTAGTTTTCTTTTTCTTTCTTTTTTTACTTGCTTTTTATCATTTCCTCGGCCTCCCTGATAGTGTTGGCTGTTAGTGTTTTCCTTTGGCGGTGCCACAAAGATTGGTAAGATCTGTTAACATACTGCCAGATCTGTGTAGCTCAAAACTTGGCATCCGTAGACATGGGAGACAGGGGAGGCATTGGGCATTCCAAAATTTCACACAGATTGGATACTGTGTAAGCTTACCTTAAGACGCTCTGCTCAGCAGTTGTAGGGTTTTTTTGTTTTTTTAGTGGGATACTTATCAGATGTTCCCCAAACCAGAAATCCACACAGAAATAATGTAGGCAGCATACCATTATCCTCAGCTGCTGTAAGCACAAATTTGTTTTAAGGTCCACCAATTATGCATGATTTTCATAAAGGTGATAGCTTTAATTATATTTGTGGACCTTTGTTGAACTTTTCAGATAAATATTCATGCCTGCACTAAGAAAATTCTTTGTCAGACCATATGTGTTCTCCTTGGACTCCCACAAGTTTATTCACAGCATGTTATAACTTAGCTATACTGCCCCCTTTCCTTTTTGAGGCTCTTGAGGGTATGGGTGGCATAGTTTAGTCCTTCTGTTTGCTAGAGGTCTAGAACAACTAGTTACTCATTAAATACCAGATAGCTCATATTTGTTCATTGCTTACCACATAAATATTGGTTACCTACTAAGTGCTAGGTATGATATAAGATTCTGGAAAATAGAATGTTGGCAAGACAGCCATGGCCTCTGACCTCATGAAGTTTACAGACCAGTGTGGGTAATGGCCCCTCTCTCCAAAAAAATTAACAAACCAAAAAAGTTCAAAGTGTGATAAGTGCTATGAAGGGAGCAGAGCACTACAGCCAGGTTCTAACTGAGAAGGAATGTTTACTGATTAAAAGTGGAAAGGATTATGATCAATATTATTGTAAACTGAATTATAGGTGGGAATTTTTTGCAGTTTAAAACACTTTTACTATTATGATTTAAAGAAACATATCCTTAATTAACAAATAGGTTGTGCTACAAAATTATAGGTTTCTTTATAGGTTCATTGGTGGCTTCCCATTACATCAAAATAAAATCTCAACTGCATGCCATGGATCTAATAAACCTCTGTATTGTCTGGCTCTTCAAACCTTATTTTACCCCTCTTCCATCTGGTTTACTACGTCCAGCCATAATGATCTCTCAGGTACCTGAACAAGACAAGCTCTTTCTTGCCTTGGGGCCTTTTCCCTTTTCTTGGACTGTTCTTCCTCCTCCTCTTGGAATGGCTGTCTCCTTCTCTTCCTCTGGTTTTGGTATAAATGCCGCCTCTTCAGAGACTTCAGCCACTGTATTTAAACTATGTGCTCCCAACTGCTTTCTGGTTTAGCACTTTGTTTCTTAATAGCACCTATCACGGTGCGTAATGTTATTCGCTTGTTTACCTGTGTTTGGTTGTTTTCCCACTGTACACGAGAGCTGTTCTTGTTCACTGCGCTCAGATATTGCTTGAATGCGTTTGGAACTTGAAATCCATTTTCCCTTACAAACTGTTAATTACTGGTGGCTAGATTGCTAAGCTAGCCAGCAATAATTTCCTTTCGTTTTTTATTTTTTATTGTGCTTTAGGTGAAAGTTTACAGCTGAAGTTAGTTTCTCATACAAAAATTTATACACATATTGTTATGTGACCTTAGTCACAATCCCTACAATGTGAGAGCATGCTACCCCTTTGCACGCTGGGTTTCCCCCTGTCCATTCAGCCAGTTACTATTGCTTTCTATTTTCTCATTCTGCCTCCGGACAGGAGCTGCCTGTTTAGTCTTGTGTATCTACTTGAACTAAGAAGCACGCTCTTCACAAGTATTATTTTATGTTTTACAGTCCAGTCTAATCTTTGTCTGAAGAGTTGGCTTTGGGAATGGTTTTAGTTCTGGGTTAACAGAGAGTCCGGGGGCTGTGTCTTCTGGGGTTCTTCTAGTCTCAGTCAGACCATTAAATCTGATCTTTTTATGTGAATTTGAGTTCTGCACCTACTTTTCTCCTGCTCCTTCAGGGACTCTCTGTTGTGTTCCCTGTCAAAGCGGTCATTGGTGGCAGCCGGGCACCATCTAATTCTTCTGGTCTCAGGCTGATAGAGTCTCTGGTTTATGTGCCCATTTTGTCTCTTGGGCTAATATTTTCCAATTTTAATTTCTTACATGAATTTTTTTAGTTTCTTGTAGTGTAGTAAGAAAAGGATGTTTTCTCCTTACCCCTTAGAGAATAGGCCTGACTGTAGATAAAATAATCTTTATAATATTTGTACCTCCTTTCTGTTTTCATACCCCACATTCTTTTTTTCCTTCACTCCATGTAGTTCTGATCCTTCTATTGCAGCTTCCTTGAGATATGCTTGCTTTTTACTTACTGAATTTCAGAGGCTCTTTTTCTTCGTTTTCTTCCTGAAATGATTTTCATAGCAATAGCCTCTGGGTCTCAGGTGTGATGGGGGAGAAGGAAAATTGGATATGGACCTGTGGTAGTGACAGCAACCTCTGTAGCTCTCTGTATGTGTCGAAAGCAAAGTAGTGGTCTATATGTCAGGGGCTACATGTATCTGAATTTATATTTGCATTGTTGTTGCTAATAGTTACACAGAGACAGTGTTGCCAGATTGAAATGTTGGCAGAGAAAACCTTCAAAAAGCTTAGTGGCCCTTTTCATGTATAAATTATGCAATGACAAGACCTAGAAAGGTTTGTCAAAATGTAGATTTTTTTCCTAAAAGAGAAAGAGAAAGTTAAAAAAAAATCTAGGCTGGAGGTGGGAAAAACTCAGAAGGAAAGTATCAGTTTATCAAATAGCCCTGCCAAATGCTCAAACTCAAAACCATTAGGATCAGTTCGTTGTAGCTGTTTGGTGCCAAAAACAGGCCAGCACTCTCAATATATCGCCTTTTTTTTTTTTTTTTTGGTTTCGTTTTGTTTTAATTAACAGTAGAAGAATGGAACACTGTGCTAATAAAATACAAATTGAGTTGTCCGAAATTTTATTCCTGTTTCCAGTGGAATTCCATAAGAACTGACCATAGCTCACCAAATATGAAAATACATTATCCAGTTTGACTATAGAAGGTTTGGCTACTCTAAAACAAAGTGTTTTGGTGATTATTGGTCTGTCATTTGATCTAAAGTGAGAAAATTGCCAGTTGTTTAATGTTATGTAAACATAGTTAAAGGGCAGTGGTGGTTCAGTGGTAGAATTCTCACCTTCCTTGTGGAGACCTGGATTCAGTTCCCAGCCAGTGCTCTTTCATGCACAACCACTACCCATCTGTCAGTGGAGGCTTGTATGTTGCTGTGATGTTGAGCAGGTTTCAGTGGCTCTTCTAGACTAAGATAGACTAGGAAGAGAGGTTTGAGGATCTTCTTCCAAAAATCAGCCAGTGAAAACCCTATGGATCACAACAGACCAGTCTGCAACTGATCATGGAGATGGCACAGGACTGGGCAGCATTTTGTTCTTTGTTCACGGTGTCTCCATGAATTGGGGCCGACTTGACAGCAAGTAACAACAAGAACAACAAATGTAGTTTAAAAACAGTTGTAATCTAACTTTTTTACAGCTGAATGTGTGGAGGAAATTCTTTGAAATAGTAAGAAATGAGTGTTGATTTGCCCTCCTGATTTGAAAATTGATATTTTTATTTCAGAGCACTTCAGTTGGTTAACTTGTGGCACTGATGATTTGTTGTTGTTGTTTGAGATTTTTTAATATTTAAGCAAGTTAACTTGACTACAGTGGCTATTTTCAGAACCAAGTATTGAAATACATGATCTGACAGAGGATTTGGATACCACTTTAAATTGTTAGTGATTCTGAAATTTTGGAATTTGGTATTCATGAGGACAGAGAGAAGAAGTAAATCCTGGGCATGGTGATACTAGGTCCAGTAGCTGACCAGACCGTGAGGGACTACCTGGGGGCCCAGTGCTGACTACTAAGCATCACGAGGCATGATGTAATCTATCATGGCCACGTGGTGAAGCCAGTAAGAGCCCTGAGTCCGGAGGCTCAGATGAAGCTTCCTGGTGCACAAGAGAGGATAACGTGCCCCACTGTGGGGACATGGAAACTCTGCTCTGGGACCCCTCCACGACCTCACCCTATGTGTTTCATCTTTTGTATTCTTTTTTGTTATATTAAAGTTGTCGCAGGTATGGTGTTTCCCATTGAGCTCTGTGAGTCCTTTCAGCAAATTATCGGACCCAAAGGAGAAGGGGGAGCTGACTGGTCTGAAGTGGAAGGAGTCATGTGGACTCCCAGGCCAGCAGCTAGTACCCTGAGGAGGTAGAGGAAAACCCCAAATTTGGAGCCAGCTGGTCTGAAGTGGAGGGAGTCATGTGGACTCCCAAGCTTGCAGTTGGTACCTGCTGACCTAGCCTTGGGTAGCTGGGGATGAGAGAGAGAAGGTCTGTGTGGGCAGCTCGGGTCTGAACTGAACAGGGAAGGGAAGCTGAGATTTCTGTAGGATGCAGCTGGCATGTGGAGTGGGATTTGTTATCCACAACACAATTTTGTATCAGAGGTGGGTGATCTTGGTCTCACTGGACTCTGGTTTGCACAACTGGTACAGTGAACAGGGTTCACCTGAGCAGTCCCTGACGTTGCATACAGTCTTTTGTTTTTGTTTAAAACATCTCTGCTTAAAAAGCCCATGTATGTCTTCCCTCCTTAGCCTCATCTCCATATCCCCTCTCACCCCACCTCAAAGCTGCCAGAATAACAAATTGATTTTTCTCCAACTTTCTCTTTTAACAGTAGTACCACTAGTGTCTACCTGTTAACTCCTTTTTTCTTCTCCTTCACCCCTCATATTTAATCCCTAACCACTTTCTGCTAATTCTTCTTAAGTAGAAATTACTTATAGATTTGACTGTCTTTCTTATTTCCATTTTTTACTATCCTACCACTTGCAAACCATCGAGATCCCCATACTAGTTTTTAAGTGCTCTTGCTACTTTCTCCATTCTGATGAATACATACAAATACCCTATTAATCTTGAAAATATTCTTATTATTTTCTTATGCTGCTTAATAACCTATACTAATTATGTTATCATTAATCTTTTCTAAAGTGCGAGTACTTGAGGGATTAAATTCAAGTTCCTTTATCACCAATCATCACTTAACCAGGTTACGCTTTTTCTTACTACTTCCTCAGTTCATCAGGCCACTCTGCTGATACATATATACTGTCCTCTTGAAGTTAGTTTTTTGTGTTGTTGTTTACCCTCACTTGGAATACTACTTAAACGTGAGGTTATATGACTTCTTTTGGTCTATGCCATCAATACAACTAGACTCATCAACAGGTCTGGGTTTCTGGTCTCTAATTGACATTTTTAAGTCTATAAGCAGTTTGATGTTCTTTTTTTTAAAATTTTTTTTAATGTACTGATATTTAGGTGACAATTTTTTTTTTTTTTTTTTTTTTTACAGATAAAGACTAGCTACAAAAAGGCTATAAAATTTAAGATAAATTACTGTCCCAGACAAAAGAAAACCAAGACCCATGAGTGGGCATCGGTCAACAAGGAAACGATGTGGAGATTCTCACCCGGAGTCCCCTATGGGCTTCGGGCATATGAGTACTACAGGATGTGTATTAAATAAATTGTTTCAGTTACCTACACCACCATTGTCAAGACACCAACTAAAACGGCTAGAAGAACACAGATATCAGAGTGCTGGACGGTCCCTGCTTGAACCCTTAATGCAGGGATATTGGGAATGGCTAGTTGGTAGAGTTCCCTCCTGGATTGCCCCAAATCTCATCACCATCATTGGACTATCAATAAACATCTGTACAACCGTTTTGTTAGTCTACTATTGCCCTACAGCTACAGAACAGGTAAGAACAGGTTTTTTAACAACACGTGTCAACATTCGTTAAATGCCAGAACAGTTTAGTTGAGATTATGAGTCATTTTAGTTAAAGAGAAGATAATATGCCATCTATTTGTCAACTATTTAAAATATCCTAGACTCCTGGTTGCACAGTGGTTGAGAGCTTGGCTGCTAACCAAAAGGTCGGCAGTTCGAATCCACCAGCTGCTCCTTGGAAACCCTATTAGGCAGTTCTGCTCTGTCCTGTAGGGTTGCTATGACTTGGAATCGGCTCAACGGCAACAGGTTTGGTTTTTTTGGTATCAGATATACTGTTGAGAAAGCATGTACTGCTGCTCCTGACTACAGCTGACTTTATCCTACTTTATCCATTATTAGAAACCGGAAGCAGGGGGTGGACTCTCATTCTAGTAGGTAAATTAATGTCATCAGGGTTTAACTGTTGCCTTTAAAATCAGAAAATGTGAATTCTTCATTTAAAAGGCATATCCCATTTTTTTAAATGGCTGAATAAAGTCTTAGCAAAGTTTAAAATGAGAGAAGTTTCTGGTATTTGAGATGGCTGTAAATCAGTATTATCAAGTGTTTTCCTCTTCATTCCAGTGAGAATTGTTGAATATCCCTTTTCCCTTGCTGTTTAAACATGTGTGACTAATAGACCTCAGCTGTATCTCTTTTATTCTAGCAAGGCAAAGGTAATGTAATAAAAAGTCACTATAATGTGTTTCCTGTTCCACATCCTGCTCTGGCTGACATTAAGAAAGGAAGCATGATATTGCTTATGAAGACTCTTTCTCTAAGCCTTCTCTAATCCAGGTCTCTCTACTGCTTTTACTATATGTAAGCCAAAACCAAACCAAACCAGTTGGCGTTGAGTTGATGTCAACTCACGGTAATCCCATGTGTTTCAAAGTAAAACTGTGCTCCATAGAGTTTTCAATGGCTGGAAGTAAATCCCCAGGGCTTTCATCCAGGGTGCCTCTGGGTGAATTCGAACTACCAACCTTTCAGTTAGTAGCTGAGCACTTAACTGTTTGCACCACTAGGAACTCCTGTTATTATCTATACTCATTGCTTAAAACCAAAAACAGAACTGGAACCCTTGATCAGAATGGGTTAATTGATGCTTATTTCTTTGGTTTTAAAATTTCCTTATCAAAAAGTGAAGTAAGGTAGTTAGGTAGATAAAAGAGAATTAGATACATTGGTTGTGCCCGTGTTACTCAGAGTGGTCAGTCTCAAGTAGCCCAAGACTACAGAAGGTGACCCTCAACTAAAGTTGGTGAAAGAAACTCTGAACCATATAGAATCGTAATGGCCACATGATTCCTTGTTTTGTTTTTAGCTTGAAGTGATTTAAAAAAAAATAGTGTTTTCAGATGATTTGTCCTTTGTGATAAAATTATCACCATCCAACCCTCTGTACCTTTCTGTTTTCATCAGTTCATATCCACATGTATCTCTTGAAGTGAATAGCTGTTGAGGGTTGCGTTTACCTATAAAACATGTTATTTTTGTCTTCTTTCAGGTCATCATTTCCCCCCACTGTTGAATACCTTTATTTTGATTTCTCATTACTATAGAAATTCAGTCCATACAGTTTGTATGTATATATTTCTGGTTTTCCTTCATTTTCTTAACTACCTTGCTTTACATTGAGGAAACTTAGAAAACAAAAAACAATATGATTGCTTATATATGTCCTGGGATCCTTTATTACCTGCCCTTTGAGCTGTTTCACCTGGGGCTTATGTGAGCCCCTGATAGAATGTGGTCTAGATCTCGCACATCCTAAGAGATGTAGAAGAACAGCAGGGAGATTTGTTGATTCCAGTGGAAGCCCACCAATGGTCCTAAGCCAGTTTCAGGATGGGAATCAGGGAGTAAGAGCAGTTTCAAAGGTAGCTCAGCCACTGATAAGTCATTTATTGAGCACCCAGAGTGTACCAGGCACCATGTTCCCTTTAATACCTTTGCTCAGCCTCTGTCCTGAACTGTTTCAGAATTATTGGAGTAACCTTAGAATTAATTAAACCTTTGAGGAGACTTCCAGAATGGAAACTACCCTGATCACAGAGAACTTTTCAGAATTGTTGCTGGGGGGAATCAAGGTGGAAAATGACTGAGCCACTATTTGGTACTCTGCAAGGGAGAGTAATGTCTAACAAAGGACATACCTGGATTTGTTTATAGCTACATGGTAGAAATCCTTGTCAGGCTCAGATCAGAATTATTAAAATAGGCCATGGCTCTCTTCCATGATAACTCTTCTCATCTCTGTGATCTTTAGTAAATTAGGTAAGTTCTCTAAGTCACATTTTACTTAATCTTTTTAAGTCTTACTTTTTAAGTCTTACTGTTATGAGGATTAAGTTAAGATTATCATGCGTGTAGTGTGTTTAGCAGAGTGCCTGGCATATAATGCTCAATAAAGTCAATGATTATTTGGAATTTGTCTCGCAGCTTGATATATGTTGCATATGCTTGAGTTACCCTTGCCAAGTAAGACAGATAAAGGAAGTTGTTTTTATCTATTTTAAACAGATGAAAACCACACCATTACCAATAAGAGTTCTATCAGATATAAATGTAACTTTTTGAAATATGATCTTACGAGTTTTTTGTCTTAGTGCTCATTTATTTTTTGTTTGTTTTTATACTGCAAAGTTTAATGCTTTTGATTCAACTCACTAAAAAATAACTTGTTAGATTTTTTTTAATATAGAAAAAATGGAAAGAAAATTAAAGTGGCACATTGGCCCATAATCTCACTGCCCAATTAACTCCTATTGACATTAAAAAGGAAAGGGGAAAAAATTACAATTTCACAGAAAGGTATGAAACAAAAACTAAAATCTTCCCTTTTTTACTTGCCTATCCATCCCACTCCTACCTTCGGTCTCTTTCCCTAAATGTAACAACATTTAACAAGTTTTTGGTATGTGTATTCTCCTGAAAAGAAAAAAAAAATCACTCTCGCATTGGCATATGTATGTTTATACATATGTAAACCCCTCAGTTCTGTTTCAAAAGCTCAGTAAAACCCCATTTCGTAGAATCTTTTATCTGAGTTGACTCACATAAGAACATCTCTGTAAGATCTTGCAACTTAGTTAATTGCCATATTGTGATGTGATTATTTGCTTATGCCAGTTCTTACCCACCCACTTCTCACAGTGTAATGGTTTCCTGACTGATGAGTTCATTCATTCATTCATTGTCTCTCCCAGGCTCTTAACCCAAATAAGCCCATGCTTATTTCTGAATTAGAAGGCTTTCTCCTTGAAACACGTCTGAGAGTTGTGAAATAATGGTAACAAGGAACAAATATATTAGTGTAGTGTTCTACAGATTCACAGGAAGAAGGAAAAATCCAAAGAACACTAGAAAGCTTTACTATCTTTTTAAATATATAATTATTATCTTGCTGTTTTCTAGGATTGTATGTATACTGCTGATTGAAGTTGTCTCTATTCTGGAGTAGCACTTTTCCCTATTAGAATCCTAAATTTAGATTCCAAGAAGTCCCTGGCTTCTCTAGTCCCCTAGAGCAGTGCTGTTCAGTATAACTTTCTGTGATGATGGCAGTGTTCTCTGTGTGGTCCAAAATGGTAGCCATAGCCACATGTAGCTATTGAACACTTGACGTGTGTAGTGCAGCTGAAGAACTGAATTTTTAATTTTAATTAATTTAAATTTAAATAGCCACACATGACTAGTGGCTACTGTATAAGCAACACAAGAGTTACTGGATTCCTTTAGGAGCAAGAACCAGTAGATCCAGAGTCCAGAAGATGAGGTTCTAAGTCACACAGGACTAATTACCCAGTCCAGTTTGCTTCCATGTAGAGTATGGTTACATAACCCCGGTTAACACTTTCAGGATTTGTAACTCTGGCTTTCCAGTCTTCTAGTTGCCATTGTGTTGACTCTGACTCATGTTAACCTCATGTTGTGTCACAGTAGAACTGTGGTCCATAGGCTGATTTTTTTAGAAGTAGATCACCAAGTCTTCTTCCAGGGGACCTCTGGGTGGATTCCTTTCAGTTAATAGCTGAGCACGTTAACAATTTATACAATCCAAGGACTTTGCCTTGGAAGAGTTATGTGTTGTTGTTGTTAGGTGCCATCGAGTCGGTTCCGACTCACACGACCCTACGTACAACAGAACAAAGCACTGCCCAGTCCTGTGCCATGCTCACAGTTGTTGTTATGCTTGAGCCTATTGTTGAAGCCACTGTGTCAGTCTGTCTTGTTGAGGTCCTTCCTCTTTTTCTCTGACCCTCTACTTTACCAAGCATGACGTCCTATTCCAGGGACTGTCCCTCCTGATAACATGCCCAAAGTATGGGAGACAGAGTTTCGCCATCCTTGCTTCTAAGGAATGTTTTGGCTGTACTTCTTCCAAGACATATTTGTTCATTCTTCTGGCAGTCCATGGTATATTCAATATTCTTCACTAGCACCGTAATTCAAAGGCATCAGTTCTTCTTTGGTTTTCCTTATTCATTGTCCAGCTTTCACATGCATATGTGACAGTTGAAAATACCATGGCTTGAATCAGGCACACCTTAGTCCTCAAAGTGACGTCTTTGCTTTTTAACACTTTAAAGAAATCTTCTGTACCAGATTTGCCCAGTGCAATATGTTGTTTGATTTCTTGACTGCTGCTTCCATTGGCATTGATTGTGGATCCGAGTAAAATGATACCCTTGACAATTTCAATCTTTTCTCCATTTATCATGATGTTGCCTATTGGTCCAGTTGTGAGAGGATTTTTGTTTTCTTTCGGTTGAGGTGCACTTCATACTGAAGACTGTAGTCTTTGGTCTTTATCAGTACATGCTTCAAGTTCTGTTTACTTTCAGCAAGCAAGGTTGTGTCATCTGCATATCATAGATTGTTAATGAGTCTTCCTCCAATCCTGATGCTGTATTCTTCTTCATATAGTATAGAGGTATATACTCTGGTCCTTTTAATAGCTTCAGTGTCCTAAATTATGGAACTCTAAGAAAATGTTTAAGAGAGGATCCCTGCCTTTTAATAACTGAGAACTAAATTGATCTGTATCAGAGAATCCCCTTCCTGTTGAAGGAACCCTTTACAGTGCAGAATATACTAAATCTTATTTGGAGCTCTGAGTAGTTTTAATTTGAAACTCTGAGAGTTTAATACAGTTTAACTTGATAACCAATATCTGGTAACATATCTGTTTTTGTAAAAAAAAATTTTCATGGCCTGGGCATGGGGAACTATGAAAAGTAATACAGAATACTCCTCTACACTCTTAGAGGTAACAAACCAAATAGAAGCTCTCCTTTTTTAACGCATGACATGTAAAGTCAGTACCAACGGTTCGTTTTCTAGCCAGGAAAAGAGAAACTCTTCTTTGAAAACGTGACCATAAATATTTGAAAAATAATGTTCTAAGCACTTTGTATACTAGATCATCATTTTCCAAAGTGTTCCATGGAACTTTGAAGAGGTGAATTTAAAAATACGTCCCATCCATGGTCTCACGAGACATCGCAGTCAGTTGGCATAACTTAGCTCACAAAAATCATGATCTGCATCCTAGTGAAGTAAGTAGCATCTGAGGTCTTAAAAACTTGCAAGTGGCCATCTAAGACCAATACAGGTCCTACTTGCAAGGAGCAAAACAGTAAGAAGGTAGCCAAAAGCTCAGAGAAGAAACACGTCTGCTTGAGCCACAACCTTATCTACCCAGAGACCAGAAGAACTAGATGATGCCTAGCTACCGCCACTGACTGTTCTGACCAGGGTTGTAATAGAGGATCCTGGATACAATGGGAGAAAAATATGGAGCAGAACTCAAGTTCTTACTTAAAAAAAAAAGCTAGACAAACTGAAACAGTAGAGAACAGACGACTTCCTGAGACTATCGCCCTGAGACACTCTTTAAACCTAAAACCAAGCCTATCCTCTGAGATTACCCCTAGAGTGGCACACAAAGTGTAAACGATATTACCTATAAGATCAGTGCTCTACTTAAAAACCATCAGTTGAGATTAAAAGCAAAGATGAAAAGATAAGGGGGCAGGCAAACTAGAGTACTAGAAATGGAACAAACAGAACACAATTAAAGAGAATGTTGACACATTGTGATAAATGTAACTAGTGTCACTGAACAGTTTGCGCAAATTGTCAAATGGGAACCTAACTTGCTGTGTAGACTTTCACCAAAAACTCTAAAATAAATAAAAATATGTGCCATGCTCGGAAAAATTGGGGAAATGGCAGCATATTGTGTCCTTTTTTGGAGAGTCACAATACGCTTTAGCAGTATTAAGGACTGGAAGAAGTCCTACAGTAGAGAAATCTGTTTAACATTGTTTAACCTGTTTTTATGATTTTAGCCTGGAATTTTTTTTTTTTTTTTTTTTTTCATGTAATACTTGTAAACATCTTGAAAGACACAATTTGGGAAATACTGTACTAGATTATTCATTAATTGATTCGTAGATCTAAATGTTTGGAGGAATATTATAGAAGTTCTCTGGTCTTAATCTCTCATGGGATTTTTGTAATATCCCCGTGAAGTACTTATTTAGCATCTACTTGAGCACCCTACAAGACAGAGGATTTAATTCTCTTACAATTCTAATTGTTTCAAAAAGTTCACTCTGTAGCTCTTGGATCATCTCTTGCATAGCTTCCAGCCAGTGTACTTCTCTGGAGAATGAAGATAAAATATTTGCAGGTAAAAATATGTTAACTAAACATAGTAGCTAATATGTCTTAATACTCTTGCCTTTCTTTTTTCATTTCACAGGCACCTCTGTGGGCATATATTGCTTGTGCATGTGGCCTTTTCATTTACCAGTCTTTGGATGCTATAGATGGGAAGCAAGCCAGAAGAACCAATAGTAGCTCTCCTTTGGGAGAGCTTTTTGATCATGGCTGTGATTCACTATCAACAGGTACTGTTGATTTTTAATGTTAATGATTATTAACAGTGATGAAAGCAATGTGATAAACTGTTAGACTAAATAACTAAGAGGTTTGTGGTGTTATTATAGTTACCAGAATAAATGATTTTGTATTAAATTTTAGTATTTTCAAAAGACTGTGAATCTGATTGATATTTGTTCATTATTGGCATTATCAGGAAATTTAGGAATTAAGTTCATTTCTGTGTAAGTCATTTTTAATGCTAAATATTGTTTTGTCATCTGTTTGTTTTCAAAGTCTTAGGGCATAATTGTGATAAAGTATATGACAGTACAACAGTGGGAGACTAGTTAGGTAATTTGTGGTCTTTACGTTAAGTGACTATATTGTAGGCATTTAAAATTATGTTATAAAGACTTTGATTATAACTGTGATAATGTGCTTGAATAAAAACAAAAAAAAAATACACAAAAGTACTAGCAATAGGTGAGTTAAGTGATATGTCTTTACTTGCACTATTTGCAAGTTTTAAAAATAATATTTTCATATGTCTTAGAGGGAAAAAACAGATTTAGAAACTAAATGATAATTTCTAACTACTCTTCCTGACAGAGACTTCCTCCCTTATATTTAATTTAGTTTTTTAGTTGGTTTCTTATCATTTGACATGCCATTTAAAATATTTAGAAGGAAAGAAGCAAAAACCCTTGGTAGTTTTACCTCCTGAACCCAGATTTGCAGATGTAGGTGCATGTTAAAAATCACTGTCTCAGTATCTAGACAGCAGCTTGCTTAGTAGAGGAGGAGCAGCTCTGAGCAAGGCTAGTTTGGTATCTTGAAAGGCTGTTATAATTTAACTAGGTGACTATAGAATGACAGATATCCTAGTTTTTTATTTTAAGGGACAGTCGTATTTGTACTATAGTTTGAATTTCAGACTTTTATAGGAAGTCTTTTTCAACATCACTCATAATGATATCTGCTAAATAAGAAACAGCAGCTATCAGTCTAAAGCAAGTAGGTCACTTTATGGATTATCCATGCCCTTTGTTCCTGCCTTCTCACTCTCTGCCTTTTAACTTCTTACTGCTCATTATTACCACTATCACTAAGTTGGGAAAATACTCCAAAAATGCTAAAGTATTTTAGTTGCTTTCAAGAACTTTGGTTCCATTAAGTGGTTTAGTGAAAGAGTAGATTTAAATTATGGGGTAAAAAGGTAGTGTCAGGATTATATCTAACTTTCCTGTTATCGTAGATAACTGAGCAGATTGTACATTCACAGCATATTTCATCTTTCTCTCATCTGAAATCATTTCCAGCTTAGTTAAGATTTGCTATTCAGATTGTTCGGTTTCATTGTGATCTTTTTTCTGCAGTTTTTGTGGTTCTTGGAACTTGCATTGCAGTGCAACTGGGGACAAACCCTGACTGGATGTTTTTTTGTTGTTTTGCTGGGACTTTCATGTTCTATTGCGCACACTGGCAAACATATGTTTCTGGAACATTGCGATTTGGAATGTAAGTAACACTGGTGTTTTTGTTTTCTCATTCTAATATGGAGAATGTTGCTTGTAGGTATTTGAGTATTAGAGACTGTTCAAATTATTAAATTCATTTAATAAATAAAAGAATATTAAACTTACTATTATAGCTATTGCCTAATAATCTTTGCCATATGTTCCTCTGTCATACCTTTTAAAAGGAAATATCAGAACCTTCCAACCAGTATTTTTAAAGCAATCTGAAAAGCAGTAGCCCCTCCTCACTCACCTCCATTTGTCTCTCTCGGAGTAAAATTCACTCTTTTTTTCCCTACTGTCATTTACCGTAACTCTGTCTTTTATTTTGACATATAAAAATGCATTTTCAGGAAAGATAAGATAGTTTTTAAGAGCAAAGAGCAACTGTCATCTTTAAATATCATGGCCTATATACTAGGATTCATTCTTTTCACATTGTTTTATTTATTAATCTAAAAAATGTATATATAAGCCCTTGATAATTCAGTTGACATGTGCACACCATATAGATTACTATTGCCGATAAAATGTCAAGAGATTTTCAGAAATGAAATGCAGACTCATTTCTTTGAATAGTTCCTACCCAGTGATCAGTACTTTCCCATAAATATTCATTAGTAAACTAGTCTTGGAACAAGGTTAAGGATGGCACTCACCAGTCGGTATTTAGTTCAGTATCACAGATCCTATTTACACTGTGCAGGTTATTCTTTTTTTTTTAACGGCATAGGATTCAAAGAGAAAAGACTTGAGAAAACATTCTGTTTACTTCATGAAATGTCAAAATGAAAATCTGATGGCAGGTGATGGGAACATCTTAACCTAGTCTCCAATGAAGATGAATCATTAATGGATTTTTAATTTTAGATCTTTAGTAAAGTTAGTTTTCTAGGCCTTGAAAAAGCAGAATGCATAGAAATTCAGCTGTTCACTACAAATTCAGTTCAGCAGACTTTGGCTAAGCTTGTTGAAATAGAATTTAAGATGCTTTTACAGCAGTAACTGAATAATTATTAATACTTTGAATATTAACTGTTTAAAAGACATATCTTAGAATACTTTCAGAAAGAAGGATTTAGAGAATATGTTTAAGGCATATCTCAATGTGGTATTCTTATTAGAGAGTAGTGGACATGAGTGCCCATTTGAAAACTGTATGCCTGTGCATTCATTAGTAGTTTATAAAATGATCTCAATACTCAGAAAATATTGAAGATTTCTGATATCAAAAAAAGCAGTAATTTCAAATTATGCAGATTTTTTTTTCAGTATGTCATTTTTTTATAATCTTTCTCTACAGTAGTTAAAACCACAGAACGTAATGGACTTCTAAGAATAGACTTCTAAGGTCACTTAGTTCGCCCTAATTCAGTATTAATTTTTAATGATATTACTGTTTTTCAAAAATAGAATTTGTGATATCTGAATTTCACATAGTTTATATTTCATTGATTATTATCTTGCCAGTTAACTTTCAGGCCATTATTTTGAAAGCTTATTCATCATCCAGCCCTAATTCATTCTTTCCCTTTCAAATAAAGCAGCACGAGTCACATAGGTGGGAACTGAAGGAAGGAGAGAGAACGAAACCATGGAAGTAGAGGAAGAGTAAATAGTGTTTTTAGGAGTGATTTGATATTACAGCTTTCTATTTGCCAGTCTTAGAATTTTCCTCATGGTGTATTTCTGTTCATGAGACACGTATTTGGAGAACTACAAGCAGTTCCATATGGTTACATCATAAGATGCCTGTAGGGGAGTGGCCGGAGAAGAGGCTGGAGAAGATCCAGATCTGCTATGCTCTGCCAAGAAATTTAGGCTTTTATCCTGATTCTGTGGGGGAATCCTTGCAGGACCTAAAGAAAGGAAATGACAAAAATGCCTTTTAGAAAAGTCAATTTGACAGCATTATGGAGGGTGAATTGGAGTGGGCTGTGATGGAAGCAGGGAGACCCAATAGGAAGTGTCACTATAATTAAGGTGAAGGGGACGGAGCCTGAACTAAACAGTGACAGTGTTACTGGAGAGAAAGGGACAGGTTGGAGAGAGGTATGGGAAAAAAACTATAGGACATAGGCTGTACTTGGATTTGGGGAATGAATGCGAGGGCAGAGACCGAATGGCTCCTAGTTTTCTGGCTTGGGTGGGTGGATAGAAGGTGGAGAAAGGCACTACAGGAAGAGGAACCTATTTGAAAGGAGATTTCTATTTAGGACGTGTATGTGAGGGGTTTTAGGCATCCAAATAGAGTGAGAATAACAGAAAACTTAGAGAGCACGCCTAGAAAGAAGCCCATAAAAATTAATGAAATTAACAGCCAGAGTAGGAGGAGGCATACCGGAGTTAAAAGCCAAGAGAGGAAGGAATTCCAAAAAACAATTCTAAATGCTGCCAAGGCTCAGAATGAGGACTTAAAAGCATACATTGGATTTGGCAGTATAAGGCCATCCCAAGTAATTTCTGTATAGTGGTGGTGTAGAAGCCAGATTATGAATGGGGAGTAAGTAAGTAGAGACAGTTAGTACAGGTTAGAGGAGAAAGAACATGGGTTCAAAGGAAAGAGGGTTTTTGTATTTTAAATAAAGGAAATCCAGTAGAAAAGGGATTGCAGATAACTGTCTTATTTAAAGACTTAAATAAGACTTAAAGTATTATTTATATAGTAAGATTCCTAAAGATGCAGAACCAAAGGAGTTCTAGATACAAAGGCACTCTTACACTGAGACTGGGGTGCTTCCTTATAATGGTATTAAAAGAAAAATTTGAAATACCGAGGCCAGTTTGAAGTTAACATCTAAATTTAAATTAAATATTAGTATTATAAGAAGTTGGTTTTGATTTGAAAAAATTGTAAAATTTTCTGAAATATTGCAGTTACATTAAAGCAGTATTTTTTTTTTCAATTGAAAACAGGCTATAATATTCATGGAAATATGCTGCTAATGCTTTACATTGAAGGAGATAATTATCAAAATACCAATGCAATGGAAGCATATAGAATATGTTATATAGACATCCCTAAAGAAGTCTTTAAATTGCCCTTTTTCAAAAGCAAATAGAATAGGCAAATGTATAATAGGTTAAATATTGAAAATCGTAGTTTGGAAGCTCTGCTGAAACTTGTTCAGCATCATAGCAACACACAAACCTCTACTGACAGATGGGTGGTGGCTGTGCATGGGGTGCACTGGCTGAGACTCAAACCTGGGTCTCCCACATGGAAGGCGAGAATTCTACCACTTAACCACTAATGCTTCTTTTAATAACCTTAAAATGTACAGTATTTACCAAATAAGAGATTTTTCTTTCATCTCCTTAGTCTTTTTAATGTCACTGTTTTTAGTTGCTATTAAGTTTATTTATAGTATCTTGAACAAAAAATAGGCACAGTAACTTTCATAACTAAATATTTTTATTCAAAGTAGGAGTCTAGCATTGCGAGAAAGCAAATATCCTTTGTATATATCTTCCCTGAAATTATGAGTTATATCTTCCAACACTTTGCTCTGATCGCAGCTAAAAGCTGTGTTGCACACAGAATACTAGTACCTGTCAGATCTAAACACACCCCTGTCCCAACAGTGCTTCTGGAAGACTAAGTAGAGATCAGACAGAGATGAGTACTACCTATTGGGACCCTTCCAGATCGAGTTTAGCCCTGTAGGAATTTTTACTAGCCTGAATATAAAAGACTGGGGAGGGAAGTGGGGTTAGAAGCTAGAATATATATATATTTGTATGTGTGTATATGGTCACTATGAGTTAGAATTGACTCGACAGGTTTGGTTTGGGTTTTTTATGTACTTATTAGCTTGGGCAAAGCACATCACTTTCATGGGCCTCATTTCCTAATTTCTAAAATAAGAGTTTTTGATTATGTAGATCATCTCTGAAGTTCCTCTGATAAAGTCTGTTAGTCTATTGGTTTTACAGTTGTTATTTCTCGTGTACTTATTGCTTATAATTACAGCGAGCAGAGTATTGATGTTTACTTCCATTCGTTTTTTAATTTATGCTTCTAAGATTTTACATTTAAATTCATTAAAAACCCTGGCACCAAAGTTTATTTCTATGTAAGTAACTTCTGTAATAACTTCCCACTTTTTCTTTTCTACAGTTAATTTTTAAAAAGTTAATAGGCTAACAGACTATATATTCTGTTGGTAGTCTGACAATTTTGGTTCATCTCCTTATCCAAGGTAAACCAAAAACCAAACCCGTCGCTGTCAAGTTGGTTCCAACTCATAGCAGCCCTAAAAACCTAATTATTTGAAGACTTCCTAGTAATTAAAACTGTTTCTGTTCATGTATAATACACTTTCTCTTAGGAAACTTCCTATTGAATACCTATATATGATCTGCGTATCTTTACATGGTTAAGATTTATCACATGAATTGTTAAATGCCAGACATTTTCCTTTTAGTTTCTAATTTGTGTTTTTTTCTGTATCAGAAGTGATTCATTCATTTGGACCCCAGCTCCACCCATTTAATTTTATCTCGTTATTATAGATAATACCGTAAAACAACCAACTCTCAATTATTTATATTGATGTAAAACCTAGATTGCAATTTGGGTTTTCAGGTCATCAAATAAAATTGTTGTTGTTGTTAGGTGCCATTGAGTCAGCTCCCACTCAGAGCAACCATATAGGACAGAGTAGAACTGCCCCATAGGGCTTCCTAGGCTGATATCTTTACGGAAGCAGATGGCCAGTCTTTTCTCCTGTGGAGCCACTGGTAGGTTTGAACCACCAACCTTTCGGTTAGCAGCTGAGTGCTTAACCACTGCACCACCAGGGCTCCCATATCTCATTCGTCTGTTCTTAATTTTGATTAGTAATGTAGTTTTTATTTGAAGCCTATTCTATACTGCTACCTTTTTCTGTCACCATCTGTTTAACACTTCTCTAGTGATGGAACTGGACGTTTTACTTAGTTTTGCCACTAATAAACTAATAGAATCTAGTGGAGCATTATAATGTGGTATGGAATTAA